TGGAACTCTAGCAAGCATCCGCAACTACTAAAGATCATTAAGGTAAAACCCAACCATAGCATTAAAGTATCAAGTCCTCTTTATCCCATACGCAAACAACCTACTTACTCGGGTCTGTGCTTCTGTCAATCACTCCACCCACCATAAGCAAGTCATGAACATATTGCAAACCCTACAGCGGGAATCCCTCACGCTTGCGTGACACGAAGAGTATCATAGGACAGCACCAATAATAAAACATGCAACTCAAACCAATTACGATCATCAAATAACCCATAGGACAAAATAAATCTACTCAAACATCATAGGATAGCCATACATCATCGGGAAATAATATATAGCGTTGAGCACCATGTTTAAGTGGAGATTACAGCGGGTAAAAGAGGGGTTACACCACTGCATAGAGGGGGGAAGAGTTGGTGATGATGGCGGTGAAGTTGTTGGTGAAGATTGCGGCGATGATGATGGCCCCCGGCGGCACTCCGGTGCCACCGGAAGCGAGGGGGAGAGAGCCCCCCTCCTTCTTCTTCTTCTTCCTTGACCTCCTCCCTAGATGGGATAAGGGTTTCCCCTCTGGTCCTTGGTCTCCATGGCGTGGGAGGGGCGAGAGCCCCTCCGAGATTGGATCTGTGTCTCTGTCTCTCTCTATTTTCGCGTTCTCAGATTCTACCATTTCACCGTTTCTTATATTCCCGGAGATCCGTAACTCCGATTGGGCTGAAATTTTACACGATCTCTATCCGGATATTAGCTTTCTTGCGGGGAAAGAAGGGCACCAACTGCCTTACGGGGTGGCCATGAGGGCCCAGGGCACGCCTGACCCCCTGGGGCGCCCCCTGCCTCATGGCCCCCTCGGGCATCGTCTCACGTTGATTTTTCTTCCCAAAAATCACATATATTCCAAAAAAAATCTCCGTCGGTTTTTATCCCGTTTGGACTCCGTTTGATATGGATTTACTGCGAAACGAAAAACATGCAACAAACATGAACTGGCACTGGGCACTGGATCAATATGTTAGTCCCCAAAAATAGTATAAAAAGTTGCCAAAAGCATATGAAAGTTTTGGCATGGAACATTCAAAAATTATAGATACGACGGAGACGTATCAGCATCCCCAAGCTTAATTTCTACTCGTCCTCGAGTAGGTAAATGATAAAAAAGATAATTTTTGATGTGGAATGCTTCCTAGCATAATCTTGATCACATATCTAATCATGGCATGAATATTAAGATACGAGTGATTCAAAGCAATAGTGTATCATTTGACATAAAAACAATAATACTTCGAGCCTACTAATAAAGCAATCATGTCTTTTCAAAATAAGATGGCCAAAGAAAGTTATCCCTACAAAATCATATAGTCTGGCTATGCTCCATCTTCACCACACAAAATATTCACATCATGCCAACCCCGATGACAAGCCAAGCAATTCTTTCATACTTTTGACGTTCTCAAACCTTTTCAACTTTCACGCAATACATGAGTGTGACCAATGGACATAGCACTATAGGTGGAATAGAATGGTGGTTGTGGAGAAGACAAAAAGGAGAAGATAGTCTCACATTAACTAGGCGTATCAACGGGCTATGGAGATGCCCATCAATAGATATCAATGTGAGTGAGTAGGGATTGCCATGCAACGGATGCACTAAGAGCTATAAGTGTATGAAAGTTCAGACTGAAAACTAAGTGGGTGTGCATCCAACTTGCTTGCTCATGAAGACCTCGGGCATTTGAGGAAGCCCATCATCAGAATATACAAGCCAAGTTCTATAATGAAAATTCCCACTAGTATATGAAAGTGATAACTCAAGAGACTCTCTATATGAAGAACATGGTGCTACTTTGAAGCACAAGTGTGGAAAAAGGATAGTAGCATTGTCCCTTTTCTCTTCTTCCCTCATTATTTTTGGGCCTTTTTATGGCCTTTCTCTCTTTTTTATTTTTTTTATTTTATTTTTTCGTCCGGAGTCTCATCCCGACTTGTGGGGGAATCATAGTCTCCATCATCCTTTCCTCACTGGGACAATGCTCTAATAATGATGATCATCACACTTTTATTTACTTACAACTCGATACTAGAATAAAGATATGACTCTATACGAATGCCTCTGGCGGTGTACCGGGATGTGCAATGATCTAGTGTAGCAATGACATCAAAAAACGGACAAGCCATGAAAATATCATGCTAGCTATCTTACGATCATGCAAAGCAACATGACAATGATGCTCAAGTCATGTATATGATGATGATGGAAGTTGCATGGCAATATATCGCGGAATGGCTATGAAAATGCCATGATAGGTAGGTATGGTGGCTGTTTTGAGGAAGGTATATGGTGGGTTTATGGTACCGGCGAAAGTTGCGCGGTACTAGAGAGGCTAGCAATGGTGGAAGGATGAGAGTGCGTATAATCCATGGACTCAACATTAGTCATAAAGAACTCACATACTTATTGCAAAAATTTATTAGTCATCGAAACAAAGTACTACACACATGCTCCTAGGGGGATAGATTGGTAGGAAAAGACCATCTCTCGTCCCTGATCGCCACTCATAAGGAAGACAATCAATAAATACCCCATGCTCCGACTTCGTTACATAACGGTTCACCATACATGCATGCTACGGGAATCACCAACCTCAACACAAGTATTTCTACTAATCCACAACTACCCACTAGCACGACTCTAATATCACCATCTTTATATCGCAAAACTATTGCAAGGAATCAAACATATCATATTCAGTGATCTACAAGTTTTATGTAGGATTTTATGACTAACCATGTGAATGACCAGTTCCTGTCATCTCTCTAAATAGATATAAGTGAATCAAGAGAGTTTAATTCTTTCTACAAAATATATGCCCACGCTCTAACAAATATAAGTGAAGCAAAAGAGCATTCTACAAATGGCGTTTGTCTAAGTAAAGAGAAACAGGGAATCCAAACTTCAAATGATATAAGTGAAGCACATGAAGCATTCTATAAAGCCATACTCAAAAGATATAAGCGAAGTGCATAGAGCAATTCTATAAATCAACCAAGGACTATCTCATACCAGCATGGTGCATAAAAGAAAAGTGCAAACTAAAGGCAAAAGACGCTCCAGATTTGCACATATCGCATGAACGAAACGAATCCGAAAACATACCGATACTTGTTGAAGAAAGATGGGATGCCTTCCGGGAGATCCATAAAGCCATACATATCTCTGTCTCTCTCTATTTTCGTGTTCTCAGATTCTACCCTTTCACTGTTTATTATATTCCCGGAGATCCGTAACTCCGATTGGGCTGAAATTTTAACACGATCTCTATCCGGATATTATATTTCTTGCGGCGAAAGAAGGGCACCAACTGCCTTACGGGGTGTCCACGAGGGCCCAGGGCGCGCCTGACCCCCGGGGCGCGCCCCCCTGCCTCACGGCCCCCTCAGGCATCGTCTCACATTGATTTTTCTTTCCAAAAATCACATATATTCCAAAAAAATCTCCGTTAGTTTTTATCCCTTTTGGACTCCGTTTGATATGGATTTACTCCGAAACAAAAAACATGCAACAAACAGGAACTGGCACTAGGCACTGGATCAATATGTTAGTCCCCAAAAATAGTATAAAAAGTTGCCAAAAGTATATGAAAGTTGTAGAATAATGGCATGGAACAATCAAAAATTATAGATACGATGGAGACGTATTAGTGACTGGTGGGAGTTGGGCATCCCAAAGGTCGTCGATGGCAGGGGAGGTCGGTGTGATGCTGAGTCACTGTCATATGCGGGCCGCATATGGGCATGAGATGAAGAGGTGGCTGGCGTCTTCTGGCAGAGCCTGGCATCGCGGGCATACCGGGTCTGTGATGATATGCTTGTGGACGAGGTTGACCCGCGTATTTAGTCTGTCCCAGAAGAGGAGCCATGGGAAGATCTTGATCTTGTTTGGCACTTGCGAGCGCCAAATGAGGGGGGCATTTAAGTCGTTGTCCGGCTCTCATAGAAGAATGACATAGGCTTCTTTGGTGGAGAAGCGGCTGCCCCCCAGAAGAAAGCGTTCGTCCTGTTTTGGCGAAGAAAACATTTTGACTGTCATCAATCCGGTCTTGCAAACGGACATTGTAGAAGGACTCGAATGTGCCTTCCGGCTAAGACTCCCTTGCATGGTAGTACACCCGTGAGCACCTTCTACCCGAAGTGTTTTATTTTCCTTGGAGTATGTAGTTGTCAAAGTTGTTTCCATATGGAGTTTAACTAAAGGCTACCGTGTCTGTCCGACCTGGTTATTTGGCTCCCAAACTGATGGTTAAAGTCCGCGTGGCACGCCCACCGAACTGAGAAGGTCCTGACCTTGTATACCGCCACGCCACAATATCTTCCATGGCCTCCGCCCGGAGAAGAATTTGAATTATTCTTGCAACATCAACCGGTTTAAAGACAAACCTAATAAGGTCTAGATCCCACTGTCCCGTGTGAGGGTCTATAATTTCCTCCACTAGGTGTTATAACACTGTCCCTCCTCTAGGTGTTTTTTTGAGAGAATCACCGGGGAGGAGTCCCTCCACCTGAATATATTACTCAAAGTGGCCATTATGCCAGAGAGTGGTCCGGTCTATCAGGGAAACCAGATCGAAAACCTACCTCCTCTAGGTGTTATAACCTTTCTTGATGCACTAGAAGGAATCCAAGGATCATCCCAAATATTTATTTGCAAGCCCGTTCCAACCCGCCATACACAACCTCTCTTGAAAGTCTGAATTCCAGCCACAATAGTTTGCCAAGTAAACGACGACCCTTTCTTTGGTCCAGCCTTGTATTCCTAATATAGCGCCATTGTGCTAACCCTTTTACATGATGCAAAGATGAAAGTGTAAGGGGAATGCTACATATATATGGGTCCACCCTACAAGTGGCCTAGTTATAACTCATATTGGGCCAGGGTGTTACACTAATTAACTTTCTCATGTGATTGTTCATAAACATGTATTCCCTTTCTCTAGGTACACATGGTAGACTTTGTGATTCTTTGTACGGGAAGGTTTAACAATTATCCCAACATACCCAAATTCCCTCCTGGTAGAGGCCCAGAAGCATTTGATGGGAAAGTGATCCACTCCATGGACTACTCCAAAATGGGTAGCGAGAAAGCTAAGGAGATGATCAAGGACAAGTGTGTGACTATTGTTGGGTATGGAAATTCAGCCCTTGACATTGCTAATGAATGTGCAAATATAAATGGTAAAAATATTCAATCCTCAATTAAACAGACCTTGTTTCTCTCGGTTAACGAAATTGAAACATTGGTATGTCCATTTTTCTAAAGCATTCCAATGTACGCATTGCCTATCATGCTTATATAATCTTCATCCTTATAGTTGCCTATATAAAAATGAAACAGTGCGATTATATTTTCATAACTTTCTATTTTATTTGTTATTTAGGTATGGAGAAACCATGCACAATGGTTGTCCGAACCAAGCAATGGATCATACCGAACTTCTATGCTTGGGGTATTAACATATCAAATTTCTATCTAACTCATTTTGCTGAACTCCTTATTCACAATCCCGGTGAAGGTTTCCTCCTTAGCATATTAGCTACCGTCTTGACTCCATTGGTACTACAACATGTTTTCATTGTATATAATTCATAATCTTAATATTATTAGAAGTGTAAATGGTTTTGTTTTAGACTAGTTTCATACATGTGTACATTTCTTTTGTGCGTGAGAAGAGGTTGATTATTTCAAAGTTTGCTAAGAGCTACTACTCCATTCCAATGAAGAAGCATGACATGGTGCCTGACCATAGCTTTTTTGAGGGGATGGTGGGGTGTATGCTTTCCACTACACCCAAGGATCATTATAAGAATTTATAGGAAGGCAACATAGTTATTAAAGAGTCAAAGACCTTCGGCTTTTGTATATTCAGAACAAACCTCCGGAAGAGAAACGATGTGGTTTCAGTTCATTCATCCTGTCATGGACACTGTCGCGGAAAATATGATCCAGGGACATAATAGATATACATGGCATGAAACTATCAATGTAACAGTACGGATCAAATAAGAAGGTTGCAAGAATCCTCTGCGCAACAGATTATTTGTTTGATGTAATAAGTGTTGCTCCTGAAGAATCGCCAGTGCTCCGTAGAAAGACATCGTTGTAGATGAAGATATCAAAACATTAGAGGTGTTAGTAATCATGATATGATGGCCAAGAGAGTACTAACAGTTAATACTAGTGTAATGATACACACCTGCAAATTAACGAGGAGATTTTTCGAGAATGATGTTCCAACTCATCATCACAACTTGAACTGTCAAAAGAGAATGTGGTACGAAATCAATATGTATGCACGGTAAAGAAAGACAAAATTACAGAATCAACTAATCCCAAGGAAAATAAGTAACTAAATACAGGTTAACTGGAAGGGTGAGTCGGTATAGCTACCATGATGAACTCGAGTGTCAGCTTGTTGGGATTGATGTTGATGGCGTGACAAATTGCATCCTCTGCCTCTTCAAGCTCTGGCTTGGACCACCACACAGCCTACCACTTTCCAACATAGACCTGTTTAAGTGAAGAGAGGTTCTCCAGGACAAAGTCCAAATCACCAAATCGATCCCATGTCTGCTGCACTGATAAAATAACCTCAAGGGTCTGTAGCTTCTGCATGGATCCTTGTGCAAACTTCAGCTCCATGATGCTACTCCCGATTTTCAGCCTTGCGAGACACCGAAACAGATAACTGCCATCAATCACCAACCTTTTGCTTCGTGCGGTTTGCGCCACCCATATATGAAGATCACAGAGTGATGACATGGGGCCAAGCACTCGAAGGTGCTCCTCTCTGAGTGTTTCTAGATGCTGGATTAGAAGGGTGGAAAGGTTGGAGAGCGAAGATATCCATCTTGGCACATCGCACTTTATGCTATCAGCCAGATGGATGCACTGAAGCTGCTGAGGCTCAGGCGACAAACTATCACTTCCGTAATCTATGTTTCGATGTACACCACTTAATTTAATGCTTTTGAGATTGATTAGGTTGGACAGACACCGCCGAAAAAGTTCCTTATAGTCATCGTTCCATCCACAAACCCTAACACGAAGATTCCTCAATTCCGTCAGCTTGCTCAAATCGTGCAGCATGGATGGAGACTCGATATTGATACCTAGCAATTCTTGCAGCGATTTTAAATTATCCAATCGTTCTGGCAGGGCCGTGCCCATACCAATATGAAGGTACACTAGTTGTGTTAGCTGAAAAAATGATGTTGGTAACATTTTTATTGCCGTCGCACTTATGTCTAGTACTTGCAAGAACCGCAGATTCCTAATATCGTCCGGTATCTGAGTGATAGATGTATTGCATAGACATAAATACCTCAAGTGTAACATGCTGTAGGTAACCTTAATATGATGATTATCCACATCCCAACAATAAACTAAGTTCAATGCACGCAAGACTGAAAAGCTTGAAAGGGCTGGTAACAAATTGATATCTCGCCCAAACACAGTGTTTGACCTCAAACGGGACAAGTTCATAGTTGCCATTTGCATGATATCGTCTTCATTTAGGCTTTGGACTGATAGCCGACGGATCTTACTTGGTGCAGATCCAGATTGCTGACCACCTATACATGTTAGAAAATTCTCTTCCCTTGAAATGGAAGTGATGAGGTCAAGCACCATATCGTGTACACGACAAGCGCTCTCTTTATCATCACTGACATCTGCTGGTTGGATCAAACCTTTGTTAATGAGCTCGCTGAAATAGTCTTCTCCTACTTCATACAAGCTATTTCCATGTTCTTCCCGAATAAAACCTTCACCAATCCATTGCCATATCAAATCTCTAGCAACAATATTATAATCCTCTGGATACAAACTTATATACAATAAAAATGTTCTTAGTTGCGGAGGTAGGTCATAGTAACTGACTGATAATATCCTTCTCATGTCCTTCACACCAGGTCTATCTTGTAGCCCAGAACCCATAGCTTGGTAGCCCTTGGACCAATCATTTCTATTTTTACTGGCTAGCATACTAGCTGTTGTAATAATAACTAATGGTACTCCACCACATCTCTTAATAATGTTATCAGATACTTCAGCTAATTGATTAGGACATTTGTCTTCGGCACCAAATATTCTTTGGTAGAATAACTTTCGTGACTGTCCAAGAGAAAGAGGCTTTAGGTCATAAACACCACCAACTTCTTTGGCAACATAAAAAATTTGAGTTGTTGTAATTATTCTACTTCCGCATTCGTTGTCAATCAAAGCATGTTTGCTTTCTTTCCATACGAAATTGTTCCATATGTCATCGATCACAATGAAGTATCTATAAGACGATATCAAATGGCCATCTATTAGTTAAGCTCCATGTAAACTTATGTTTCTTTGAGCGCAGTAAATCAAAATGTGTCAACATATATATAATACCTTGTACAGAAGGCTCCAGATTAGAAAAAAAAGAAATTTAGAAAAATGCTATAAAATAAAAACAAAGGGAAAACATCCTATAGCAACATTCGATGTTCTAGAATAGCATTCTATTGTTTATGATTCAATTGGGTGGCACTTGTACTTGGAAGATGCACTGATGTTTATCGGACTATTGTGCAGGTGCTTGTGCCATGATGCTCCAAAAGCTTTGTTGGCGCTGCTGGAGGAGTCTCTGGTAAGTTGAAGGAAGAAAGCGAAGATGTAGAAGAATGACTAGCTATGTAAGTGGTCGGGAGCTAGGGAATCCTGAGCGTTATGCTTGGCTGTTCTAGCAATGGAGGAGAATTTGTTTTGTTTGTGAGCTGTAGAAGTGATGTTTGTATTGAAGAATGTGCTTCTGGTTGGATCTTGGCTTGTGGTGTGACTGAAGAAGGACGGACGGCGTGGTGCTGAAGCCTGAGGAGGCCATGATGATGGACGGGGCCCTTGGTTGCCGTTGAGATTAGTTACTTCTTTTGAGAATTGGTGTGTTGTGTTGGTAGGATGGATGCATTGGAGTAGGTAGGTAGGAGCTCTTAGATATCATCAATCCTGGTAATGTTGTGCGGTATAGGACGAGGCAAAGCACACAAGTTGTTGTATTTCTACCTTCAACAATATGTGATATATATAATGCCATTGTTACAATATGCTTGGGTATTGGTATGATTTGGAGTGTGCGTTGATGTATTTCTGGATGGTTTGACTGATTCAGGTTACGAACAAATAAAATCATCTCCCTTTTTGTGCTTTCTCTCTGGATGACCGATGCATTTCATGTGTGCTCTGTTTGTTTATGTATGCAAAGGATGGATGGATGCAGGAGAAATGCAAATCTTGGTATCGATGGCGGAGGAAGAGGCAAAGCACATTAGTAGGACATATGGAAATACAAAGGAAATAATTGCATGGAAGCTAGCTAGGTTGCTCTGCTCATCTCCATTCCTGATTTGGAGCACATCGTTGGGTCTGTGTACCTAGTATCTATCTGTCATATGCAAGTGATCCTTGCTCTCCTCTTTAATACTATATATATGTGTGTGTATAAATCTATTTGGTGCATGCATGGATGCACGATTGATCCATTTTTTCGAGTAACTTAGTAGGAAGCGTACGGGATTCACATCAATCCGTACATGATTCACATCAAACATGATGCGACTAATAGGAAATAAATACTCCGACGTATCCAATCTACTACCTCCGTCTCAGTGAGTAAGTCATTCGCGTAGTTCTAGGTTGATGATTTAACTATCTAAATATGTATTATATGTGACAAAAAATATATATTTAGAAACTACATTCGTGTAGAATCTAGTGATATATTTTTCATGACATATAACACATATTTAATTCCTTAAATCAATGACCTAGAACTACGTGAATGACTTATTCACCTAGACGGAGGTAGGAAGCTACCCAGCGTTATTTGAGGGAGGGAGGTCGCACTAGTACAATAGTTAGTTATTACAGAAAGCTTAAGTAACCGTGGTAATTAACCTCCTAGGAATCCTCTCCCTCCTTGAAATCCATCCGGAGGGATTAGTATTTTGGAAAGAAAGGGGAGGGAGGGCGCACTGGTACAGTAGTTATTAGGCCCTTTCTAGTGTTCTATGGTGGACAGGTGCTAAGCATGCCATATAAGCAAAAAAATGACATGGCACAACATTTAATAAAGGGTGAAAGCACTTTGGGGACCCAAAAAAGAACCAACGCCAAACGCGAGAACCTAGGCAAACCACTTAAATGAAACAACTTGACCAATGCATGAAATACTTTAGGTGCTAACTCATTAAATAAAGTGTGCTTAGCAACAACAAGTTAAGCACCTATGCATTGAGGAGATGAGTTGCTAAGGTATTTAATGCACTTAGCACCTCATCTAAGCACCTTTGCATTGGAAGAGGTCTTAGGAAGCTTGAGAAACCGAGATAATCAACCTCTTATTGGGAAGCTTGAGAAACCGTGATAATCAACATCTTACTGGGAAGCTTGAGAAACCGTGATAATCAACCTCTTGGAAATCCGATCCTTTTCCTCCTTAAAACCCACCCGTAGGAAAAGAAAGGTGAGGATTGCGCCACCTCACTGATCCGCGGCACGGCCTTGCCTCTTGCCCCTTCTTGTTCTCTACGAGCAGTCTCCACCATATATGCCTCCATCCCTCTATATATATGAGATAGCCATTCATCCGCGTGAGGGACGCACGTGCGACTTATGACTTAGGACATGATATACTACTACGCAAGCGTTTTTCCATATATGATTAGGATGTTGATATGAAGTAGATATACACTTATGTTGGTTATTCGTCTGTGGTCATGGCCTCCAAGATCTTCTGACCACAAAATCCAATCTTGCCGAGCCTTCTTGATTCCAGCTTGCTCTCATAACACATAGCAATGGGAGTTACTTCCTTTTTGAAAGGATGGTGACCTATTGTTA